GTGCGAGGACTTTGCCTACGCCGTCGCGGAGCAGATGCGGAAGGTCGACGTCGACGTCCGCACGCTAAACTGCGAGTACGGCGACGGGCAGCTCGAGATCACCTTCGCGCCCAAATTTGGCATCGCGGCGTGCGACGCGGCGTCGACGTTCAAGACGGGCGTCAAGGAGCTCGCGCTCCGCCGAAACCTCCGCGCGACGTTCTCGTCGAAGCCCTTCGGCGGGCCCCGGGGCGTCGGCAACGGCGGCCACTTCAACTTCTCCCTCTGGCGCGGCGCGGCGCCGGCGACGCACGCGGGCGACGACGCCGACGGCCTCGCCGTCGACGCGCGCCGCTTCCTCGCCGGCGTGCTCGCGCACGCGCCGGGCCTCGAGGCGCTCGCGGCTCCCACGGCCGCGTGCTACGCGCGCCACGGCAACTGGGCGCCCGCGGCCGCGGACTGGGGCCACGACGACCGCACGGCCTGCGTCCGCGTCAAGGCGGACCCGGCGGGCGACGCCGGGTCGGCCTACTTCGAGTACCGCGCGCCGTCGGCCGCCGCGAACGCGTACCTCGTCCTCGCGGGCCTCGCGGCCGCGGGGCAGGACGGCCTCGACCGGCGGCTCGAGCTCCCGCCGCCCAAGGCGCCGGACGCCGCGAGGCTCCCGACGAGCCTGCCGGAGGCCCTCGACGCGCTCAAGGCCGACGGCGTCCTCGCGGCCGCGCTCGGCGACGACCTCCTCGAGTGGTTCGACCTCGTCAAGCGCGCCGAGCTCGCGCACGTCGACGCGGCGAAGGCGACGTTTCTCGAGGCGGGCCAGACCGACGACGACGCCACCCAGAGCGCGTGGAACGACCTCTACTTCGCGTTCCTCTGAGGGCCCGTAAGGTTCCCGAGGCGTCCTTGAAGGGCGCGTGCAGGGCAACCCTTGAAGGCGAGGCTCGCGCATGGCCAAAGCGAGAGGCCCCTGTTGATCGAACGAGCGCGTGAGACGCGGACGTCGTCGGACGCGGCGCGCCGCACTCCTCGCCCATCGGCCGCGCCGCATGGAGCTCGACGAGGCGCAGCAGAAACTCGCGGCGCAGCGCCAGCGCGTCGTCGACCTGCTGAGCGGCGCCGTCGCCGAGATGAACCTGCTGAGCAGCTGCCTCGACCTCGCGCGCGGCGGCGACTTCGTCGAGGCGACGTCCATCGCCAAGTCGGCGCGCGGCACGGCGCACCACGCGGCGAACGACGCCGCGGCGGCGCGGAAGCGGCTCCGGGGCGCCGCGGCGACGCTCCGCGACCGCCTCGCGCGCGCGCGGACGTTGACGCGCGAGCGCCGGGCCTACGTCGGCCGGTTGCGGAAGGCGCGGCAGGACTGCCGCGTGCCCGTCGATCCGGGCAACGCGCTCGCCAAGACCGCGCCGGACGTGACGGCCAAGGCCTGCCTCCGGCGCGTCCGCGCGGCGCAGCGCCGCGAGGTCGAGAACGACGGGCCGCTGACGTTCGCGGCCATCGGCGTCGAGGTCGTGGGCGTCGACGGGCCGCGATCGCTGCCCGGCGCCGTCGCGACGTTCGCGGGCGACGCGGCCTTCGGGAACCGCCTCGCGGCGCTGAGCCGCGATTTACTGGAAACCGTGACGCGCGAGATCCTCGATACGCCGCCGCCCGCGGCGGCCGCGACGCTCGTCGACCACGTCGTCGTCCGGGTTTTAGATCGCTCGTCGGCGCTCTTCGTGCCGCCGCGCCACGTCGTCCACCTGCGCCTCGAGGAAGAACCCAGCGAGCTGGAGCCGGGGGGCGTGATGGCCGCGGCCGCGCGCCTCGCGCTCTGCCGCGCGCTCCGCGCGCACGCGGCCGCGCGCGCGGCCGGCGCGGCGCCGCCGCAAATCGTGCCGGACGTCGTCGCGCTCTACCGCCACGTGCTCCCGCGCGTGGCCCTCGTGGAGCGCGTCCGCGCGTCACCGTCGCCCGAGGTCGCCGCCGCGGCCGTCCGCCGCTGCCGCTGGGCGTTGGCGCCCGACGCGCTCCTCTGCCCGGGCCCGCGGCCCGGCGCGGCGCCGGGCGCGCCGCCCTTCGACCGGGCCTCCTACGAGTAACTTAGGACGGGTCCAGGCCGCCGTAGGGCGCGGAGAGGCACGTGAAGTCCGGCTCATCGCCGTCCGCGTACCTGCGTGGAAATAAAATCTTCAATCCGACTTCAATGTGCGCGTAATAACGGATTGCGCCGGACTCTTCGGCTGTGCTTCGAGAACTCGACGAGGGCAATCGATTCGTCCAAAAATCAGCCGAATCGACTTCGATTTGACCGAGCTAGAGAGGTTTGAAGTCTTTGTTTCATCGCCGGCCGCGTACACTTCCAACACCGCGGCGGCGCCGTCCGCGGTGACGACGCGGACGTAGTGGCAGTCGCGGCCGCCGGCGGCGTCGTAGGGCGGCGAGAGCACGTCGAGGACGCAGGCGCCCTCGGGGCCCGCGACGAACTCGTGGACGTTGTCCCGCGTCGCGTACAATTCCGAGAACCGCGGCGCCGCCACGGTCCTCCGCCGCGCGGCCGCGGCGAAGGTGCCGTCGCCGTTGTCCGCGACGATGTCGAAGGAGGCGACGTCGAGCGACCCCTGGAGGATCTTCGAGAGGACCGTCATGCCCGGGTGGTCGTGCGCGGGGATGCGCGCGTTCGGGCCGAGGAGGAAGACGCAGATGCTGTAGTCCGGCGACTCGGCGACGGGCACGTGCCAGACGTCGCACCGCCGGCCCGACCGCGCCTCGGCCGCGCACCAGGCGCCGGGCCCGACGCCGAGGTCCGCGGCGTCGACGGCGGCCATGGCGGCGAGCACGGCCTCGCAGGCAGGGGAGCCGGCGACGCTCAGGCCGCCGTCCGCGGCCGTCGCCGCGCGCACGGCGTCGTGGAGCGCCGCGACGGCGTTCCGGGGGGCGCCGCCGCCGTTGAAATAGCGGGCCAAGCCGCGCACGACGCCTGCCATCACTCAGGGACGAATCACTGCCATCTCGCAGCTCACCATCGGCTGCAACTTTTTATTTTGTGGCATCTTGAGGCAAAGTTGCGAGCATTGCGAGCACAAGGTGGGCGCAGGCATCGAGACCGCGCGCGCGCTCGACGTCGACGCGCGCCGCATCCATCGCGCGCATCCATCGTCGATACGCGGCGCGGCGCGCCGGATGATCGAGCTCACCCTCGGCGGCGCGCTGGCGCTGCTCCTCGTCTGCTTCATCGCCTGCGGCATGCGCAACACGCAGCGCATGACGTCGGCCCTGGAGCTCATGGAGGCGGACTACCAGGTCACGCTGGACCGCGTGCGCGAGGCCGAGGCGCGCGACGGGCTGCTCAGGCCATAAGGCCGCGCGCGCGCGCGCGTAACCACGCCGCTGTGCGCGAAGCGCGCTCCCGCGCGACGACGGGCGCCGTCGCCAAAAGGCCTACCGCCGCTTAGCCGGCCTCACATGCGGGGGCGGTGGGCGGCGCGCGCGGACGCGGGCCGCGCGGGCCCGGACCGGTCGAGGCCGCTGGCGCTGCCGGGCCGGGAGCCCGGTCCCGCGGAGAGCTGGCGGGACGCGTTCGCGGAGAGCGTGCCCTGCGTGCCGCCGGCGCGGCGCTGGGCCTCGAAGGCGACGCGGAGCTGGGAGTACTGGCGCGCGTGGTCCGACGCGCGCTTGTCCGCGTCGCGCTTCGCCTCCTCGAGGTCCCGGAGGTACTGGACCGTCGCGTGCGCCGAGAGCTCGGACGTGACGCGCGCCTTGACGCGCGCGTCGACGGACGCCTCGAGGTCGCGGAGCGCGGCCCGCGCCGCCGCGAGCTCGCCGCGGAGCTCGTCGGCGTCGCCGCCCGCGCCGCCCGCGTAGTCGAAGGCCGTCGCGGGCCGCGGCGGCGCGTCGTCGCCGGCGCCGAGGTCCGCGCCCCGGAGCGTCGCGGAGAAGCCCGTCGTCGTCCGCGGCGGCTCGGGCGTGCGGTTGCTCAGGAGCGAGTCGGAAGACCGCTGCTGCGCGTTCCGGACGGACTTGGCGCGCGGCGACGCGCGCGCGACGCCGTAGTAGAAGTCGGACTCCGCGTCCGCGTCGCCCTCCCGGGGCTCGTCGAGGCCGCGCTGGGCCCGGTCCCGCTTCTTCACGGCGCGCAGCGTCGCCGGGAGCCGGTCCAGCGCCAGGCCCTCCGTCGACGGCGGCAGGTCGCCCGGCGGGATCGCCGGCGCGGCGACGTTGCTGCCGAGCTGGTGGAGCGGGTACTTGCCCGCCTTGACGCGCCGGAGCACGCGCGCGTGGCGGTCCACGGCGTCCCAGAGCGCCACGAGCTCGAGGTCCGCGGTCTCGAGCTGCGTCCGCTTCTTCGCGCGGTAGACGTTCAGCTGCGCGATGAACTTGGCCGCGTCCCGGTCCTTCTTGGAGAGCCAGTACCTGCGTGGAAATCAAATCTTCAACCCGACTTCAATGTGAGCGTATGCGACAGTTTCGACGCAAGCTCTTCGGCTGTGCCTCGAGAACTCGATGAGAGCAATCGATTCGTCCAAAAATTAGCCGAATCGACTTCGATTTGACCGAGCTCGAGAGGTTTGAAGTCTGTTTCTTTCGACGCCGTTCCAGTACTCGTACTGCTCCTTGAGGCGCGCTATCGTGCCCTCGGAGCCCGCCGCGCGGCCCTCGGCGCGCTGCGCGCGCGCCGCGGCCGCGGAGACCTTGCGGCCCATCTCCTTGACCGTCAACAGCTTCATCTTCGCGCGCGGGCCGACGGTGGCGCCGGGCAGGCCCCCGAGCGGGTTCGCGCTCCGCTCCTTGGCCAGGCGGCTGACGATGTCCTCGTTCTCCTTGACGAGCGCGGCGACCTGCGTCGCGTGCTCCGCCGCCTGCGCCTTGAGCAGCTCGTCCTTAAAGCGATCGTGGCGTCCGCGCGCTTCGACG